TTGATTTTTGAATAGTGATACGATGGGAAATGTGTGGTTGAAAAAGAAGAAAAAAGTATTGATGTGATGGAAAATATTATTTTATTAAAGAATGTGTGGTTGAAAATGAGAATTGATTTACTGTAAAAAATGAAAATCTATACCAAACAGGACCATTGTTATGGATTTTTTTTATTTTTTTTTTTTCTTTTACAGATTTTTGAGGCATTCAAATAGTACAAATGTCTTTTTTTCATTGAGACGGTTGTATATTTGATTGTACACGCGCCGGCATCAGGAGCCAGCAGTAGGGCCACTTGATATTGAAACAATTTCATTTTCCCGGCATTTTTTGTTTGGCATTTTTTGTTTGGCATTTAAATTAGGTTTCATATGAATTTTCATTAAATGGTACCCACCAATTATTTTTTATGTTTTTTTCTCGTTCGACAATTGATTTTAGGGAAAATTACAGATAGGGTCTCCAACCTATTGGAAATGTAGCAATTAGGCTCTCAATATATTGATTTGATGAGCATAGTCTCCCGACTTTTAATTTTTGCAGCACTTGGGTTCTATTGTATAGTTTTACTCTTAGGATCCGTTTGATTGTAAAAATAGATTTTGGATGAAAAGAAAGTGAATTATATGGAATTGAAATTGTCTAAGACTTATTTTACAAAAAATTATCAATTAATTGTGTTTGATTTGTATAATTTTTCACCTGAAAAATATTAAAATTTTGGATCTTTTGGTATTCGTTTGACTTTGATTTTAATGGAAATTGTCCATTAAAGGGGTAAAATTTGTAACAATTGGAGATATGATTTGTTTCCATTGCCAAAAAAAATAAAAAAAATAAAATTGTTTTTCCTCAAAAATTAAGAAAATATGAGCATGTGGGTGAAAGATGGAAAACTAATTCCATGAAAATTTTGGGCAATCAAATACACAAAAATGTGGGAAATGGAATTTAATTTTCATTTTCCATGAAATTGAAGTGCAATCAAACAAGGCCTTAGTTTTAATTTTTTAATCAAATTTTGTTACGCAGACAATATTATCATTATCTTTATTTAAATAAAAATCAAATTAGTAACATAACAGCACCATTTAGAATATTTGATTTGCGATATTCAAAGTTCTTGTTTGATTTAGTTAAAAATCAATTTTTTAGTAGATTTAGATAAAAAAAATTAATGATATATGTGGCTGAAAAATTGCAAGTCCTATGAGATGTGTGATTTAAATTAATTGTTTGACTTTGACTTAAATTTTAATTAATTTTTCGTTGAACCAAACAGGTGCAAAATGTAGAGTCGTATAGAAGTGCTACTCAAAAATTATACAAGTTCATTACTAAAATTGATGTCCTTATGGGCTAGTTAATTGTAGGTTTCAACTATATAGCAGAGGCCAATCTCTCGTAAAATACATTTTTGAGTTATTTATCATATTTTTTGTCAAATTCGAGATAAAGGGAAAGTCGTCATCTTAACAGAAAATTGACCTTTAAATCAAACATAATTGTAAATCAGTATTCTAAATTGCACGCATATTCTTGATGCATTTTCGAAACACTTTGCATGTGAGGTATGCGCGAGATAATGCAATCAACCCATTTCTTTCACTGCATGTGCACGTTTAAACATCAAAATACACACGTATTTGTTTTTAAAATTATGTCAAAATTAATATGACAAAGCCTAACACATTTTTACAAGTTAAAAAAAATGAACTCAACAAATATCAAATTAGCCCAATTCATCCAAACACATAAAATATGTACATCAATATGTAGGGTTTTGACGTTTAGAAAAAATAAAAGCAAAATTTTCGTAGAGTTCCAAACTATCTACACCAAGCTTGAGCCTCCTCCTCCTTTTTCTGCCTTTCGCTAGTTTTACTATCAAATGATGTTAGTAGTGCACAATCTTGAACTAGTGATAGTTGTGACGATGATAAAGAGGTTGTTAATAATATCATACTATCTGGTAATATAAATTTTTGAGTTGAAATAAGGGTGCTCAATGAAGATGATTTTGCATTTGATGATTTGGATGAATAAGAAGAAATTGAAT